CCCCCCTTCTAAAAATGAATGCTTCCTTAATTGAGAGGGTTATCTGAGAAGGGATGTTATCTTCATGACTATCATATGGCTTCTGTCCTCAACCAATCAGAATGGAATAACATATATACAAAGATTACAATTAGCCATTTAATTCAATTATGTACATAGAGTTAAATAATAATGATGATTATGATAAGGATGATAATGATGATGTTAATAATAAACTTAATTTAACACACATCCAGAAAGATAAAAACTTATTTACACATTTTTATTGAATGGTCCTAATACTGGTATGTGATGTTATGATCATTCAGATGCGATGCTGACCCTGCTGCATTAGCCAAATATGTGGTGGCTTTAGTCAAGAAAGACAAAGCTCCTGAAGAACTCAAGCATGTGTGTATAGATCAACTTGAGGTGTTTTTGTCAGATGGTAAGACAGGACAACTTTCTTATCTTGATTTTATATTGTTATTGTTATGAATATTATTAGTCATTGAACATGGTTGCATACTGTCATGAGTACCCACTGAATTATGGTAATATAGAGTAACAAAAGGGTGAATTACCACTAACGAACCTGGTTTAACTTATGTCAGTGGAACCATTTAGATGCTTTTATATAAAGTTATATTCCTTTATGTTTTACACTAACAGAGGTTTCTACTTTTACTCTAGAAACAAACAAATTTGTAGAAGTTTTATTTGAGTCACTTGAAAGTCAATCATATTTGCCTCCATCAATTGTGGAACCAACCAAAACACCAGAAAAAATAAGAAAGCCATCAGTGTCAGATGAACTTAATACCAGCAAGTTATTAGCTGATGTAAGTATTTAAGAATCTTTTAGGACCATCAGTCCTTAAAAAATATGATATTAAACACTAGAAAATATCTTAGTATGAGTATTTTTATAAACAGTTTTGTTTTAGTAATCCATACATCATAATGGCTATGAATTGCTTTTACTTTCAAAATGAATCAATTTGTTTCTTTTCTTTGAAGTCTTCAGTGCCTGATGATGATGAACGAGATTTCCGAAGAACAAGAAAAAATACAGATTCAAGTACCAGTTCTGGAACAAAAGAATCCCAGACCACAGGCGATAAAGGCAGAAAGAGAAGAGCTGAAGATGAAGGTGGTAGATTAGATGAAGCTAAGGTTGCTAAAGATGAACTTGGTGGCTCAATACCAAAGAAACCAGACTCTGATGACACGGAGGTGAAAAGAAATGGAGGCTCACAGTCAATCCCTACCAGTCAAGCATCAAGAGAAAGTAGTACAAGAGAAAGAAGATATCAAAATAGAAGGGATTTTAACTCAAGAAGTGATGATGAAGGCAGATTTAGAAGAGGTGGTGGGCCGCTTTGGAGCCATCGAGGGCGTGGGTCCGATAGGGGCCGTGATGAGAGATCTGGGCGTTTAAGGGAGCATAGAGAAAGGGATAGACATTATGATGCAAATCAAAGATTTGGACACAGAGAAAGAGGCGGAAGAAACAGATGTAGAGATTATGAAGGTAGGTCAGAAATGTTGCTTGGGAAACCTGTGTCGATTAAACCACAGGGAGCCCAAATAAATAGAGAATTTCAATTTATCTTAAAGTGTGAAATATAAAGTCTGTTTTATCAGGGATTTACAGTATTCCATATAATGGCAGTATAGTTTCTAATAAAAATGATTTTTTTCTCAGAAAAAGGATTCTGTATCATGGGAGAACTGTGTCCATTTGATCATGGTAATGACCCAGTCGTCATCCAAGATATGCCGATGCAAGGAATGATTCCAGGATTTCCTCCTGCTGCACCCTTTATCCCTGGAGGACCACATCCTCTCAGTGGGTTACCTGTGCCACCACCTATTCTACCCTCAGTACCTACAGCACCCCCAGTACAAGGACCTCCAAACCAACCACCACCCCCTGGAACCATACCAAAGACATCCGAAGGAAAAGACTCCCCTAAAGGTCAAAAGGCAGATTCATCTAAAGCTGGCTCTGAGAAAGAAACTGGACCAGGTCCTGGTCTTCCTGTATCTAGTATTCAACAACCCATAGTCAGACCACCGCCGCCAGTTGTCATGCCGATTGAGAGACCACCATTTATTCCAATGCATAGACCTAGGCCACCTTTCCCTCCACCTGAAGGTATGCTGGTAAAGGCTTTTCTTTACTTTGTCTAATATCTTAGGAAAATATTCTGATTTTTTTGCCCTCTATAAATCTTTGGTTTATCAGCTTATCATCATCCAATAGACCTATCCAGAATTCGCTTGACTGGTCATGAAACAATGGTTACAAGTTGAGGTTGAACTTGATGAATAAAAGAATTAAGTTCAGTCTCGACTTCAAACCATGGTTTCGTGGTCATTCAAGCGAATTCGGGATAGGTCTATTGTTACCTGCTTCCTTACTTTATTAATTTATTAAATAAATGAATGGTGTAAATTAACCAGTTGTTTATCATATTTGCCTTTCTTTCCCAGATTCTTATAATCCAGAGCAGCCTCAGTTTGAACGGTTTCCAGTATGGATGCGTATTGGCACTCCAGGTCCTGGCATGCCTCCTGTTCCTTATAATCCTGATTTAGCTATGAGATCAAGAGAACTGGTCAATGTTCCACCAAGCCATTCACAACTGACTGTACAAGGTATTTTAATTAAAAACGTAGGGAATCAAGCATTATTCTAATGTATAATCATCATCCTCTGTCAGAGTTAGATTGCATCAAAAGTTTATTTAAGGCCTTTAAACTAATAATTCTGTGAATGAATAGAATTCTGTGAATGAATAGAATTCTGTGAATGAATAGAATTCTGTGAATGAATAGAACTGCAATATTTTCAATTTTCTTCTCCAAAAAGTGACTACAGACAAGCCCTCTGGAGAGAGCAACAGAGTTGTTATTGGACCAGAAGCTGTAAAACAAGTATCAGAACAAGACCAATCCAATAATACTAAACCCAAAGCAGGCTGGAAGAGATTCAATGACACTATTGAACTGAAAAAGATACCAAGAGAATTAAATAACATCACAAAACTCAATGAACATTTCCAAAAATTTGGAAATATTGTCAAYATTCAGGTATGATATTTTCTAAACTTTGCATAAGGCTACGCCTTGTAAGTTCATTTTGACAGCTAGGTGACAAAAATCTTGTTAAATAAGAGGACATACCTCAAAAAACTTGAGGAAATTGGTTAATTTCCTGGGGTATTGATTAATGAACTTGACTTGTATTTTGTTATTTTTAAGGTTAATGCATTTGGTGATAGTGAAGCAGCACTTATCAAGTTCTCCAACCCGTCAGAAGCTAAAGCGGCATATAGCTGCCCTGACGCTGTACTTGGAAACAGGTTTATACGTGTCTTCTGGCATCAACCTGACAGAGAAAATCAGCCAGTAAGAAATAGATGTGATGTATTTTTCTATACTCATTAACCCAGATTTCTGAATGATGTCAACATTTATCATATTTTGATTTCCTTTCATTCACAGTCCTCCACCAAGGGTTCTGCTCAAGCAAGTGCAGAAGCTAAGAAGGTTAGTAATGTAAAATAAACACTACAAAGTCAAGTCAATCTGGAGCCAGATATTTTTAAAAAAATAGATAGTGCAGGAATGTATTATATAAAAAGATAATGGTTGAATGGAGTGGTCAGTCTTCCATTCTTCCATTTCTTTGGAAGAAGAAGAAAAACAAATTATTCTGTCTTCACAACTAGGTGCCTCAAAAACCAACAATGTTCCAGAGTGGAAAAACCACTTTCGTAAGACAAGAAAAACCAGCCATTACTGCCGTGACACCAGCAGCAACAGCAGCAACAACTGTAGCAACATCTACAACAGTAACAGCACCAACATCTGAATCTAAAGAAAAACCAGCAACAGTAACAACAACTGCAACTTTAACTACAGCTACAACAACCTCCTCTACTACAACTAGTGTTGTAAGTACTCCAGCTACTGAGATGAAAACAACTGTGCCACCATCAAAGCAACAACAAAGACAGGTGAATATATACTTCTCATCAAATAATAATAATAATAATAATAATGATAATAGTTTAATACTTATATGGCACAAATTTGCATGATCAAATGCGCATAAATCAATCACATGGTTCTCTTCCAGGATTCACAGTTGGTCAATGTCAGACTTCTTGGAAACATTTTTTTTGTGGTGACCTCTATAACTTTTTAACTGAAGCATTTTGGCTTCTCCTGATCACTTAGGGTTCACTGTGGCATTCCAGCATGTTATTACCACCCAGGTCACTTACCTTTAATGTTTTTGTTTTCTAATCAGGATATAATGAAGAAAAAACTTGAAATTCAAAAGCAAAAGCAAGAACTCCTTGACAAGCAAATTCAGCAGCAAAAGGTAAGAGAATTTTAAACACAACAACTTGATAGATTTTATTGCTTTTCTAATTAATTACTGGTACGATAGTTTGGGTACAACATGCCTTCCTTAATGGAAAAATATTTATGCCAGCAAAATATAGATCTYATACTAGCTTCCTTTCCTATTTTTCTCCAATAGCTTCTTATTTCTAAACTTGAAAAGAAAAACCTTTCAGCTTCAGAGAAAGAGGACATAATGAAGGTAAAAAATAAACAAAAAATTAATTTTAAAGTGTTTTTGTTGGTTGGAATCATTTCTCTTACAAAATAATACAAGAATGCTTCCTCAACCATAAAGTTTTTAAAAAAAGATTCAAGCTTTCAGACTAATTATTCCATCCTCATGGAACAATAGTCTGAATGCTTGGATCTTCATTAAATTTGTTATCATTGAGAAAACGTTCTCGTATTTGTTAAAAAAAAAAATTTACTTGTTAGTCAGTTAACAGTAGGTATTTATAATCATTCATTAAATTGCATGTTTTTGTTTTTAAGACCTTAAAATCTTTAAGCAAGAACATAGAAGGCATCAAAAAAGAGATTGAATTGGCTGCAATGACTGCAAAGTCCAAACAGAGTCCATCGCAAGCAAGAGAGCTGGTAAGTGTGTTATTATGTATGCTACATAAGTGATACTCTTGATCAACTGTAGTTAGTTTATTTATCTGTATGTGTGCATGTGTTGTTGGGATTGACAGTGCAATTGCTATTTAACAGGGAATTGTCAGTAATTTAGAAATTTCCTTTTGTCTAACAGGCCAAAAAGGCTATTCTTGATCAAGAACTGGACCTCATAACTTATCAACACAGTGGTGAAGACACATCAGAACTGAAGAAAAAAGTAGAGGAACTCAAACAAGAGGTATTTCATTTATCCATCACATCATATCTCTTCCCATTCATTTACTTATTTACCCATACACTGAGGTAATATTTTTAATTTTTCTTGGTAAGCGCGAATGAAGAAGAATAGACATAATTTATCTTTGAGCAATGTTTTCTCATTTAAGACCATGTGTCATTTCCTACAATTTTTTGATTTTTTTTGTTTAATGGTTGTGCATAAGAAAAACCATAAATATAGATACAACTCAAACAAAGAATCTCATTGCCTAGTGGATGACATGTTATCTGTAATGTAAAAACATAGCACCATGAAGAATTATCTTATCTTTCCCAGGCCAAGTCCTTGGGTCTTTTTGATGCTCCTGCCAAAGGAAGAGGCATCAGTCTCCTAAGAGGACGAGGGATTAGCTATCCAAGAGGACGTGGACAAGGAAGAGGGCGTGGCAGAGGGCATGCTATGCAGAGTGCAAGAGTCTGGACAAAAGAGAGTGCAGCACTGGATATGAATTTAAAGCAGCTTTGTGTAGCCAATGTTAAACCAGAAGACAAAGAAACCATTATTGAGCACTTTATGGTGAGTAACTCATGGATCCATTAAAAAATGCCTTGTAGTTGCTTGTATTTTATTGAACCTTTAGCCTTTACCCAAGCTGCTTGTGTGAGCATTATTTATTTTCCCATATTTTTTTAGGAATTTGGTAATGTGGATCGTGTTGAGTATGAAAAAGACAAGAGTAACCTGACCTTAACATTCAGGACAAAAAAAGAAGCTGAAATTGTAAGACAAGTTTTATTTATTTTCTTTTTTCCTTTTCTTGTATTCATTACTTTTCATTCTCTTTTCAGGCCTTCAAAGCTAAGAAGCTCAAAGACAGAATGCTAGAATTATCCTGGAAAGAGCTGCCTGTTCCTACTCCTGTTGTTACAACATTGCCAATTACACCAACAGCATCCACACCAGCACCACGATCTCGTAGCTCAACCTTGAGCTCTAGCAAGCTAGATGAAGAGCTAGCCCTGGATCTTGAAGGGGAATTGGTTAGTATGAATAAGTCCCAACCAATCATGCATCCCAGATAGAGAATAAGCATCCCATGTTTGGGAATCCCATTTTGTTTTGTCAACTAAGGTAACCAATTTTACAGCCAGTATCCAGTTTCATTGTGATAAATAAATTCTTACTTTTGAAAGGTTCATTAACTGATGCATTGTGTTTTACATATTAATTTTAAGGAAAAACATGAATTGGACCATGATGAAGATGATGAAGCATTGTTGCTCGGTGATGACCTCGATGAAGAAGAAGAAGACGAAGAAGACAGATCATGGAGAAGATAACTAGCTAATCATCATCTGCCAATCCGCCATGAAACAAAGTGATTTTTAGATATGTTGATAAGTTTCTTAACCAGTGTGTAACACTCTGTGACTGCAAAGCAGAGGTGCTTGCTTGTATTCATTATTAAGTAGTTTTGACATTTAATATTTTAGTAGCTTGGCTGATCATTAAGTTAATCCTTAGCTTATACTACCTGGGATGATTGATTAAGTAGGAAATACTTTAACTCCAAGCTTCAAGTATTCCAAACTGTAACTACGTTCTACTAAATCAGTCAGTGCACGGACTGTGTATCCCAGTTGTAATAGTCACAATGGTGATGATACACCTTTATTCATTAGTTATCTGTATTTTAGAATATGATTGTAAAGTTACTGTAATATTGGACATTGAAAAACATCAAAAGAAAAAGTGAATAAAAGAAAAACAGAGAGAGTGTGATGACAAAAGAACATTACTATAAAAGATGGTATGAAAAGAAGCCACTTGCTCTTACTGAGGCAAAAAATATTACTGACTACAAAAAAAAAAAAAAGAGTTAAAACAACACAACACAAAAGCAAACCAACAAAAAAAACATTTACAAAAGTCAATGATCAATTATGCTTTGATAGACTTTGTCTATCTAAAAAAAAGTGTCAAACTACCTACAAGTATTCAAGTGGCAACAAACAATGTGAAGAACAGAGAGTAAAGTGCAAGACCCACAAAAATGAAAAGGAAAAGAGTAAAGTGCAAGACCCAAAAGAATGATGGTAACTTCAAGCTGAAGGGATATTACAGTATTTGGGGATTCCATTGAATAAGGTCAGTGCCCAGGGTAAGTCATTTATATTATTATTGTGCAATATTATGATTTGAGTACAAGGCTACATGTGGTGAAATCTTTTGTTCCAACCAACATAGCTGCAACATGAAAAATGTCCATCTTACTCAAGTTCATTACTACTTATAAAGTACTTATTTCTTGTAGGGATTTGATGTGGTATTGCTTTATTTTTGTGGATATTATAAATCATATTGCCGTTATTGTGCAAGGTTTTGTTATCTTCACCCCCTCCTTGGAACTTCTGTAAGACTTACATCCATCTTTGTATGCAATATTAATAAACTAGACAACTAATAAAATTCAAACTACATATTTTAATTTCTATATTCATATTAAAATACTTAAAGCGTGCAAAAACATTATTGCTAGAGAATTGGAGGAACAAAAGTGCTGAGTGTAGAGAACACAGAATTGCCAAAGTAAAAATACTATCAAGTAGTGAAATGATTTTTCATTGTTTTCAAGATGGTTCATGCTGTCTGGTGTAACAATATTAGTATTTAGCAGTCACTAATAACAAAGGTTACAGATGGGACATCCTGTTGACTGCTTGAGCACTTGATAAATAAACACTGGTTTATTTTATAAGGAAGCTGAAACAAATAAAACACAATGCCGTAAGGGATTTACTTACATATACTAAGTTTTAAAGTACACATTACAAGTGAACCATTTTATGTTAGATACTAGACCAGAAAAAATAATTATTACATGGTTGGTGTAGAGTGCAAACTATTAATCCGTGAAACACTAATTACTAAATAGTACAAAATAGTGCTAACTAAACAATAGAAAACAATGGAATTTGCATGTCCTATTAAGTATTACTAAAGCTTCACGGATTTACTGTGGTCACTCTAGTATTCAAATGCTTGCCTATCCCTACTCTGGTTCTAGGGAATATCATTATCTTACAAACAGGTTTCTTTGATGTGTTTTTGTCTCCATTCCCACAAGGTTTTCCCCCAGGAACCTTCTTTTAACACTCCCATAATAATCTAATCCTTGTGTGTTAGGCAATGAGTGTATTTTCTATCAGAACTGTCGCTGTTGATTTACTTGAAGGAAGTCTTGTTCAAGACACTTACCTGTAAGGATAACCATGATACTTGGAACGGAAAACAGACAGAAGAAGACTAAAAAAGACCACTATAAGCCCTAGACCACCCATCACCATCACTGAAAACAAGTAACATACATTGTTATAAAATACATCTGAAAATAATACTGGAAAGTTAACTAACCAATATCACACTTACTCTTTCTTTTTCCAGGTTCTTTCACTTCAAAGGCTTTCTCATTGAGAAGTATCATACCAATAACATATGCAGCATCTAAAGTGACCAGTCAAGGACTAATAATTCTTTTTTTTTTCTTCTAGAATATGATGTTGGTGTAAACAAAATGTTTCTTACTAGTATGAGAAAACACAAGAAGACTCAAAATACTGGCTGGTTGATGAACAATGTCCAGCCAAAATTGGCATCTTTTCAGACAAATGCCTCTTTGTCCTGTGCATCCATGTGCATACTGTGCACATGCAATCATGTGCAGCCACAGAGCTTGGTATTATGTTATAATATTAAAATATATCCTCTCCTTGATAAATAATAGCAAATGTCATCATATTTGATATGTTGAAAAAAAAGGATACTTAGTAAAATAACTATGTGAGTTTCTGCAACAAACTGTGCTTGGCTGCTTCCATGAATGTAGCTCTGGAATAAAAGACATTTGTACAATAAGTCACTCATGATCAGTACCTTACTTACTTATAAAAATAGACCAAGACATCTCCTACCACTTGGCCAGTTTGTGGGTTCCTGTGTGCATAGGGTGGTCCTCTAATGTGATTCCACATCTGACCAGACGTCATAGCAAACACAATACACTGAAATCAAAATAATAGGAAAATAATTAAATCATCCACTGTATTTCAGGAACTGCACTAGAATCTCTGACCCAAGAACCATGTATCTGGTCAAAATTGGGTCCTCAAGCATTTTAATTTGAGCCACAATATCTTGACAGCATAAAAGTACATGCTTTGAATCCCAGTATCCATATAACATAAACACAGAGAAATGTATTCTAAGGACTTACCAGAGCACCTATAGCCCAATATGTCTTGTTGTACAAGAATTCAAGATTCTTTCGGCGAATGTAAAGCAATCCACCAATGAGTATGACTAAGAGACCCAGTGCAATAGCACCCATGTAGTTTGGTGGCCTGAACACACGAACCTAAATCAGGGAAATAAATACACATAATCTTGATGACGTTAGGTCCACTTAAGGAGACAAAATTAACTATGAGGGTGGGATACCTGTGTTTTCCACAGGCAAACCATAAAATGAATAATCAGTACTCACATGAACATCTGTTCTTTCTGAGACCCAACGAGCAATTTGTTCAGCTGAAAATCCCATTCTAAAAGAAATTTAAACATATATATACATAAAAGTAACAAATGTTCATATTTTAGTTGTGTTCAAATGATTTCTACCTTTGCATATCATATGAATCTGCCTTCTTTGGCTTGCCTTTTGGTGGGAAATGCATGAAAACTGGAGCTGAATTCAATCTCAACTAAAAAGGAAATCATAAACGTAAACATCAATTTTAATTTCAAAACTATAGTTATAAAAATAAATAAATAAAGGAGCTGATTCAGAAATAGGTTGTCCACTTTTGATATTATTGGCAAATCTACTTACAGCATTGAACACATCAGGTCCCTCATCAAAATCCACCATAGCAAAGAACAATTTATTGGAATATTGTTGAGAATATCTCCAAGAGTTGGCTAATATTAGATACTCATTGTTAGCCTCCCTGAAAAAAACAATAAAGAGTGATTATTCAATACTGCACTTTGAAGACAAACTAATATGTTTTAGAAATATATGCACTTGACTTATCAAGATGAGCAAATGAAAAATTCAGGGGGTGGTAGTAAGTGGACATGTGGGGGTGGGGTGGGTATAGTGAAATGTTCAAAGTATAGAGGGTGGATGTCATCAAGTACCTCTGCAGTATATGCCATCAGGGATTAAGGCCCAGAAAAACACCCACAATTAAGAAAAAACACTCAGCATCAACGAAATTCAAAATGACAGCTCTTCCAGCAACAACTCCATTATGATGCCTTGCTAAAGTTAAACGTTTGATGGGAAACACCTGATATTGAACTGCAGATTGGGGTTTGTGGTAATTCAAGCAAGAACGCTGTGCTAAAGGTCTCTATTATCCTTGCCCATTCCTCCCCCTCCATACCCAGATTCCCATACCCAACTAGAACGACTCTGTTTAAACTTACCTACAGATTGTACATTGTCTATTGGCTGCAAGAGCAGTAAGCATCAAGATTACAGAGTAATTCCTCGGTGAAGCTCTAAGGTATGTCCTGTACTTCTCTCCATTCAGTCTTATCACAGACTTTCTATGATTCCACTCCATCAATTGCTTGACTTTAGACTCTAACATCACCTGTGGAACAACAGTTGTTTTAATATCAAATAACATGTTTATAAACAAACCATTGCCGTGTTTGGAAATATTCATGAAATAGATTTGCAATACGTGAGTGATGATTAAACGACATGGAGACAGGATTACAATTGACTGACCTTTATCACATTATATCTACTTATCAGTTAGTCAGTCAACTTTATTTTTTATACAACTAAAATAAATAAAAAATCTTCAAAGCATTCAACGTGGTACACTTTCGAATTCAACTAAAAATCTTGAAACACCTGTTTTGTCGTCTATGTAAAGCTATACAAATTGCTAAGTAACAAATTCCAAACACGAAGAAATAAGGAAAACGAGGATGTTTTCATATTTTGTAAATGCAAAGAATTTTCTTTTGAATAAAAAAATTAAAACTTTTAAAAATGTCAGATGAGCGAAATGAATTCAAGAATTTAACTTCCGATAAAAGACAATGGCGCAAGATTATCACTATAGAAACAAACTAGATCTACTCAAGTATTCTCGTAGCACCTACCTCTTTTGAAATGCCTTTCTTTTTAGCCTGGGAAAGGCCTACAAAAAGGATCAAAGTCAAGGCTCCTGCCAACAACAACCTTACAGCCGCCATCTTGCTCCTTCAGCGTGGACTCGGTACCAGATCTCCTCGACCTCTTGACTAGATCACGTGACATCGACGTGGAAGCAGAAGAGACGATGATCAGGGCTATTGTGAATATGATGGTTAAAAATACCGGGGGTGGGGTGGGGGGGGGGGGAGGAGGGTAATGTTGAGAGATAGGATGGACACTGTTAATGCCCTCAGGTAAGTTAAGGAATAGATTAACCCTTTATATTCAACAAATCAATGGATTTTGGATGTCTTTCTTGCTTCTCTTATTTTACTGTAAGTACAAGCTTGCACCTCACAAATCGGTACCCATGAAGGATCATTGTTGTTTAGGTGGGGCCATGGGTGTCGAATCTACAGCCTGACTCCATCAAATCAATACCAAATTATTTAATCAATTGATAAATATCAATTATTAATCAAGACATAAACAAACAGGTAAAATGTGTCTAGATATTTTAATAGTGCCGAATAAATGAACTAGCACCTCCAGCTCTGGCTTTCTTGCCACTTTTTATCTACTATCATTTTAAAATAGCACCTCCAGCTCTGGCTTTCTTGCCACTCTTTATCTACTATCATTTTAAAATAGCACCTCCAGCTCTGGCNTTTATCTACTATCATTTTAAAATAGCACCTCCAGCTCTGGCTTTCTTGCCACTCTTTATCTACTATCATTTTAAAATAGCACCTCCAGCTCTGGCTTTCTTACCACTCTTTATCTACTATCATTATAAAATAGCACCTCCAGCTCTGGCTTTCTTATCACTCCCACATCATATAAACACAGTTCTTTATATCTACTATTATATCTACTAATATTTCTTTGAAACCTTTAAAAAAGATGAAGGTACACAACAAATTTCAAACAGACTACTTTAAATTTAATGCAAGTGATTGTTCCAGTTTACAAATTTATAAACACACAAATAAGCATCAAATATCTACGCTAATGACCTTTCCTTGAAACAATTTATATTATTTGCAGCATTAAATTTGCTTGGGTATCAGGCCTGTTAAATATTTTTATACCATTTTCTGTTTAAAATAATGATTTTATACCTATTTTTTCAATAAAAATGTTATAAAAGTATAAAACTATAAAACCCTACCTAACTACATTATTCTAAAAAAACTGTATTTTTTACATACTTTGCATATATACATACATTGCTTGAGTTAGTCCACTAGTCCTGACAAGTAAAAATTGCCTATAAAATGACATTTTTACATCAAGGATAATATATGATTGTTGTCATCAACCAACTAATACATTATTGCCATTCATTGCCTTTTTATGTTATTTACATATGCAGTAGAATGATGAATAATTCTGGATACAGATATGTTGTTGATACTGTCAAATGTTTATATGATTATGGACATAGATTGCTACATCCAGAACTGCCAAGAAAGAGTGATCCATCAGGTTGAACACATAATTCACAAGCATTATTTTTAACACTCCCTGATGGTTTGAGGTTTTTAAAAGTCACTGATTCTGCATCAAGTGTTATCTGCAAGAAAAAATGTCAAACATAAAAATAAGGAATCATACATCTATATAGTGTACTAAATTTTGAATCAGCCATACATTTATAGTCCAACCCTTCTTGGCCTCCTTTTAAGGGTTCTCTTCATTCCTCGTTAGTATAGTAGCTTTCTCATTTATAGAAAGATTTTAAAAAATTCCATGTTCCCCCAAATCTATTCATTTCAAGGTTTCACATAACAACACATACCTTTCCTTTAGTTGTCATGGTGATGTCAGTCAAGCTTTCCAAAGTCATTCCACCAGCAACAGCCTTCATGCTTATTTCCTCAGGAGCATTCATATGGAGTGACTGGGTCAGAGACTCTAATGTCAGGTGCTGCTTAGGAGGTGACCTCACTGTAGGGGTCTCTACTGAACCAGTAAAATGTGCTCCATACGGACCTAGTATAATTTATCAGCCAATCAAAATTTAAAAATACCATACACATTTTTTTATCAGAACGGGTAGTAGGAACATCATCAAGTCTGTGCATTAATTATAGGAAGTAAATGATTTCATTAAAAAATTCATTGCTACACAGCCTACTGACTTACTTGAAAACTCAAGCTTGTCTGATCTGAACACAATTTTATCTTTGTCTGCATACAGGATCTCTTTGTCTTTATCAGTTTTGATGCGTAGGTATTTGTTTTTAGCAACAACTTGATCTCCTCCTAAATAGAGCTGTCCCGTGATGTTCCCATTACCATCTCTAGCATTTACCACAAGGTGGTTTGTGGACTGGACTAGGAGTGGCTTGTTCTAGATAACACAAATTGATTTTATTGATTGTCACTATAAATTTAAAATAAATGTTCATAATTTGTACCTGTATAACTAATTAGAAGAATGTTGTCATACAAAAAATAACGAATAGGAATTGATTGGAAATAATCTTTTTATTTTGAAATTCATATTATTTATAAAATAAAGAATAATAATTAATGTTTTCTAAAGAAGTTTTATGAATGGACTTACATAACTAGCTCTGATTTCATTTGCATGTAGAGACTCAACAAATTCAGCGTGACCATAAAGTTTTACTCCAGTATCAGTGATCCTCATCTTACCCATACCATCCTAATATCAACACCATAGTTACATATGATTAGATGGTTTACCAATGAAATAAGAGGAAGGGGTGCAAATAAAGTGAGGTCCCTAGGGATATACCTGTAAGTAATATTAAAAAAGAGGGGAGAGCAAGGGTGTATAGAGAGGAGGGAGGGAGGAGAGAGTAGTGAATCATCAATGATGTGTAGCTCAGAAGGGAAGGAGGGCGAGGTAATCAGACCATGATTTAGTAGGACTTGCCCTACTCCCAGCCCTAAAAGAACAAGATGACCTTTTTTCTCAAAAATATAAACCAATCATGTATCTTAATCATGAAAAAGAAAGAACTTAAGATTTGCCAACCAAAAAAATAATGTGTTTATAATTTCTAATTTTTTTTACTCACAGAGTTGAAATCCATAACAACCAGGATCCATATCGTTAATGATAAATTAATGATAGCCAAGATCATAATGAGAAGAATCAAAAAGTACAGACATCTCTTTCTCCATCCGTAGATTCCTATAGTATAGACAATCTTGTTTGGGTCCTGTAGATTAGACCAATCTAACTCTGACGTCTCTACTCTGTCCCTCGCCATTACAACAGCTGTATCTCACTCTTTCAAGGGCTATTAAGGTAAAGTTAAAAAACTAGGTTAGTTAACTTATTAGCAATATTTCCTGTAGAGGATATTACTTACTTAAATTCCAAGGTACACAGATCAAATAAAAGTTGAAATGAATAGCTTGAGTAAGTATGGTTACAAAAAGACAAAGAAGACGCAGCAATTAGGAGTCAATGTTTTGCTGTACAGAAACCAAGAGATATGGTACAAGCATAATACATTATAATGTCTGTAATGGCTTTGTACAAAAGTAAAAGCCTGGATATATGTACTCCGTGATGCTCAAATTGACAGAGTCCATCATTTGTCATAGCTAACCAATTATGGAATAATACATGTCAATAGATATTGCACTCACATTGCTTAATTATAGACCACAATATCAATGCAGCATTCATTCATAAACTATTCCCTTTTTGGTATCAAATAATAACATATCTCATAGAATGAATATCTAGAAGAAATGTTTGTTACCATCTTAGGTCTTGCATTTTTTGGAGTAATTTTCTTTTCTTATGTAAGCTTATTAATAAAAGAAGCTATTATCAACCCATAATAATGCTATCAATCTGTCACCACAAGCCATAACATCACTAAATAATTTACTATAAATGTTAATTAGGCCAAGATAACTTCACGACTTTATCACTTCAGCTTGAAAAGGCTTTTTATTCAACAGTAATATGGAATCTTCATTTATTTTAAAAATAAGTATTTTCACCAGGGTTTACGCGAGGAATAAACCACCGATACGCATGGAATGTCACCCAACGCCCTCGTTTCATCCAAACGATAAGAACTCGATAATATAGCGATAAACGATTTGATTACTGCAGGTATAATATATGTCAGAACAACATACACCACGACAAGTTTAAGTTTAACTCCGACTGGAAACTTGGAAGTCTAATCTCTCGATTTCTTAGAGTAAAAGAAATTGTATGTCGCAAAATATCTGTAAACTTACGAAGGTAGGATACCGACACACTGAACTATTTACTCTCTTACGACAAGTTAAAGTATGCTCAAAGCTTAGGAAACGTGCAGGCAGTTTTTTCACAGAATTCAAAGCCATTTTCTTACCTGATTGAAGACGATCTGGTATGTTTATACTGACCAAATGATTTCGATAAAGTTCTGGAACAACTGACTGATTATAAATGTATCAACAACCATTCGAGTGTAAACAATGTGCTATATTTGGGCACAGCGGTCGACTGCAAAGAGTTCTGGGAAATTCCAAAAATCTGACCATGGATGGACTGAACGTCGGAGTCTCCGGATCCAACTGTATCCTACAAAAGCCCACATAATATTCTTATTTATCTCTTATAATTTAATCTTAACTGTTTAAGACGGGGTTTGAACCTATGTCAAGGAAGATTGATCTCATCCATTCATGAGAAACGCGATGACATCACAATGCCATTCACAGTGTGTTTGATCCACATGCATTTGATGCATGTTTGCTACTCGATAGCTTGAAGAGATTTTTTGAAGTCTAACAGCACAGAATTCTGAGCTCAAGGTATAAAACCAGTCTTTTAAAAAAGGTTAGATATAATATTACAATTAGATATATAACAGTATGAGTAATATTAGTCTTAACACATAAACTTGCATGTTTTAATTAATTAAACATACGCGGTTTTATCCGCTTACAACAGATACAAACAAATTCTTTGCTTGGCGCAGCGTTTTTCTTTCAATTTATTGGCGAAGCAAGGTAATCAAATAATAATAACATAAATAAGGTGTCGGCTAAGATAGACTATTACTAAGCTGTAAATAGGTTTTCGAGAGAATACTGAGTGGAATATATCTCTGGGCTGGCACACTACCATGGCGACGACTAAGTGTCAACGAGAAGTACAAGTATCTGATATATGTAAATGACTAACGCACCGATTGTTTGGGCATAAAACATTTCAAAGATATAACGAAAAACGGCTTTTGGCTAAAGGCATGTCATTTTTCTGGAAACCAGGCGTTGATTTTGCGTTAAATCAGGCAAGTGAATGAGTGAACTGTGATTCGTAAATAATAATCATAATTTGAGAGGGAGTAATCAGGAGCGGATGCAGGGGGTGGTAAAAAGGGTGACTAGTCACCCCCCCTTTTGCTCAAATTTCTCAGTATATCGTTAGTAACAGTCACCCCCCTTTCCTTGAATTCCTGGTAAAACCTTTGTAATAGTCACCCCCCTTCTAAAGTTTCTGGATCCGCCCCTGGCGATGAATACCAGCGACGAGTAGTCGTTATAGCATATATTGATGATGATAACATGATGATGATAATTGTAATGATGATGATGGCGATGGTGATGAGGATGATGATGATGATGGTGGTGGTGGTGATATTGATAATGGTAATGATGATGATGATGATGGTGGTGGTGGTGGTGATGTTGATAATGACATGATGTTGATGAAGATGATGATGATGATGATGACATGATGATGATGATGATGATGACATGATAATGATGATGATAATGTAATGATGATGTTGATGATGATGACAGAATAATGATGATGATAATGATGTGATGATGACATTATGATGATGACGGTGATGATGGTGATGGTGACGAAATTTCGTCAGCGCGCCTGTCAAGCAATTTTTTTTTCACACTGAGGCACTATTTTCCTCTTTTGGTTCAGAGTTCTTTACAATTAGTTCTGCGCTTATCGCTTTTATATTAATATAGGTATGACCTTCCTCGGACAGTAACAGAGACAATGCTTCACACAAATCATCAAAAGAAGGTCTCATTGAGGGATCAAGAGCCCAGCATTCTTCCATTATAGAATACACCTCATCAGAGCAGTGTTCAGGTTTAGGCATACGATATCCATACAGCAATTTCTCTAGTAGAATATTTACTGGTATACCAGGATAGGGCGAGCCACCAAGAGTCACTATCTCCCATAGCAAGATCCCAAAGGACCATACATCAGATTTAATGGTATAAGTCTGGTCTCGTATAGCATCTGGTGACATCCATTTGATAGGTAGTCGACCACCACCGGTCTTGACGTACATACCTTCACAGTAAATGTCTCTTGCAAGTCCAAAGTCCGCTATTTTAGCCACCAATTCGGTAGTCATAAGGACATTCCTGGCAGCCAGATCTCGATGAACCAGCTTCTTCAAGGCAATGTGACTCATACCTTTACTCACGCCCAGAGCAATTCCCAGCAGCTGTCGAGAATTCAGTATGGAGGTCATATTTGCGTACCTGAAGCATTAAAAAAAAGAATACGATTGAAAAGACTAGAAGAGGGTCAACAAAGGTAGCCCAGCCAAAGTTTCGAAAATACTTTCAAAATGCAGTCAGGCACCACCCAATATTGTCATGAGATTTTTTGGCTCAGTTTTACTGCGGAAAAGCCCGAGTCACGTTCATTACCTTTCATCTGTACGCCGACTAGATCTGAGTAAATCAAGTAAGTCTCCTCCATCGACGTACTCGGTAATAATGTACAACGGTGCCCCTATGGAGGACACGCCCAGTAGGCTGACTACATTTGGATGATGACCTATCTCTTTCATCATGTCCATTTCCTGCATGAAATCCTTCATTTCGAACCGATCCACGCCTTTAATGGTTTTAATGGCAACTTTAACAGGACCTTCACCTACACAAAAGCAAACCGATACTATTACTTGACGAGCGGTACTCAGTAGTATAAGGCTAAATAGCCTTCTATCAGGGATCAATCGTCTTTAATGGCAAATTTAATAGGATCTATAGCTGGCTTTCTTTTGTCGGTTTTCCGGCTAACCTCTACACAAATCTGGACTAAATTCTTTTAAGGAGCAAAGATGACATCACTATTTAACGATCCATTTTGTCCATTTGTTATAATAAAAAAAAACCTTATATTTTACAACCATCACTTCCCATACGGGGCTCTTCCGTGAGGTTCCCTCCACGCGTACTACCACTACATTCTATATTTGCAACATACAACACTCAACTCACATGTTACTTTTTACGGAGAGGAAACCTGAGATCCCGGAGAAAACCCTCGTGGCAAGGGAGAGAACAACACATCAAACAAACTCAACTCACATATGATCCAGTCTGAGCCAGGGCTCGAACAAGGACCACAGTGGGTGAGAGGCGAGCGGTAAACTACTACGCCACCCATGCCACCCATAAATAATATAATATAATATTGATTATCCGTGTAGTGTTGTTGGTTGTATATATGGGTACTTACTAGTTGTCAAGGTTCCTTTCAGCACTATGCCAAACTGACCTTCTCCAATCTTTTCACCGACTCTAAGTCTGTCACGTGGTATTTCCCATGCGTCCATGCAGTTAGACACTGCTGACAGAAGCAAGTTATAAGCTCATTAGATACCTTTGAAGAACAAAATGGACATATAGTGCGAACAGTTAGTAAGCAGTTACCTTGTGTGTTTTCATGGTTCGCTTCTCTGCTAAACATTCTCATCTCCATCAGGTCTTGTAAGTACGGCCTATTTGCATCTGTTTCTTCGTCGCCTGTTTTCGGTTTCTTACGCCTCAAGAAAAGGGCGATTAGCGAAAGTGCGATTGCTATGGCAACAGCAGACCCGACAACAGAGCTTGTTACTATGACAACACTCTTATTCCCATCAGAGCCCGAAGGCTTTCCTTTCGTGGGTAGTTCTTTAGTTTGGAAAGTTTGCACGTCACTGAAGATGGAGATGTTATAAATCAGCTTCAGCTCAACTTTTATTGTGTAATAGGTATCTGGGGTGAGATTTTTGACCACAGCTTGTGTGGTGTTGGGCGTATAGATCTCAGGAGCAGATGGCCACTCTGATAGCAATGTACCATATGCACGGTATAGTATGGTTATGGACCTGATCGTATCTCTGTTATCTGTTACATTGGACCAAGTGACTAACACGCTAGTTGATTGGACTTCTGTCACTCTGATGTGTATGCTATTTGGCACCGGCCAACATTCATCTCCAATAGCGTGACCACTTTTACACTCACAATAGTATGACCCTGCAGAAACATAGGGATAATCAATCATCAATCGACACTCGCTTAACATATGGACTGTTGTTGCGTGACGTCACACAATCCAAAGCGTGACCAAAACGAATTTTTCTATGAAGTGGTTTTATAAGCCCTGACAGAAACGAGTTGGGGTTGGCGCAGAGACTGGACTGACTTTGAAAAAGTCGGGCTATATGCGTGTCTTACCTTGACCGTGATGTTTTCCGCTAGAATTTGGGCGTGGTCGTGCCCCCCACCCATGGAGAGTGAGTTCTCGTGAACTGTGATTGGTCTAACGTGTGCCTTGCCGTGTCACGACCGTGTTTGTGCCGCAAGCTTTTCACAGCCATACGAAAACTGTTTTAAGCAGCTTAGTGATTGAATCTACTCACCTGGAGTATTGTAGCAGGTTGATGGCCCCAAACATGGGTCATTGTCACATTCGTTTATATCCTCACATTTCATTTTTGTGACTCTGTAACCATGGTCACAATAACATGAGTAACTCCCATAAGTATTTGCACACTTCCTCTCAAGACATTGGTTAGTTCCGGCAGCACATTCATCGATATCTGAACATCTTACCCCATCTCCTTGAAAACCAACATTACACTGACATGATATATTTCTCCTCCCTACTACTGCGAGTCTAGCATTTCTATCGCAGGTTTTGTTGGTCATCGTAAATGTACAATTCCGTGTTGTTGGTTTGGGCACGGAATGACTACAAATGCAACTACCATTGTGACTGTGACACAAGGAACGTCCATCCAAGGATAGATGAGAACAGTTACAGGATTGTGCTACACCTCCCTGAATGCAGGATGCGCATGCGCTACCATTGCACTTGGCATCCTGTATGCATGTTTTGCAGTCGCATTTGAGCTCAGCGAGTGATAAATCCATCAATGGTTTTCCAGAAAGATGAGTCGGACTAGTGCAGTTGGTAAGTTCTGCTTCCTGGAAGATATCTTTCGACTTATTCCAAAAACGTAAAAGCCATCTCAGGCGGCAATCACAATCAAGTGGATTCTCATTCAGAAAAACCTGGCGTAAATTCGTCAGTCCATCAAATGCCCCTTCTTGTAAAAAGCTCAGCTCACAGAGGCCGAGGTTAAGTATTTCAAGATCTTGATTATGGAAAAAAGCTTTCGAACTAATGGACGTCAAGTCATTTTCACTGAGGTCTAAATCCTTTAGTAACCTCAGTTTGCTAAGGACGATCACCGGGACGTCTTTTAAACCATTGCCATTAAGATGTAGTGTCTCTAGGAGTGGAGAACAGCTAAAAGTGTCAGGATCAATGGATTCAATATTATTGAAGCTCAGATCAATTGTTCTCAAAGACATCAGGTTTCGAAAAGATCCAGCTTGGAGGCTCTTCAACTGACAACCACCCAACTCGATGTCTTGTAGGTAGTCCAAAAAACCAAAAGCGCCATCCTCGATGCTCGATATTTGATTATCATGCAAGTCCAAATATTTCAATTCAGTCATACTCCGAAAGACTCCCCTAGAAAGACTTGAAATGCGGTTATTCTGTAGGTCTAGTTTCTCGAGGGAACGCAAGCCGACAAACATATCAGCTGTTAGATTAGTAAGGCGATTGTTCATAAGATCCAATTTTTCTAAATGTTCCTGATATTGAAAAGAACGATTTTCAATGCTTTCGATCCTATTATTAGCAAGATCCAGATTCTTCAAATACTTGTAGGATTGAAAGGAAGAGGTTTTGATAGTTTTCACGGCGTTCGATTTAAAAATTAATGTCCCCATCGTTCTTGGTAAACCTGGTGGTACGTCTATCATCCAGGAGTTATGAAGACAATCTGTTCTCACCAATCTGATTGTGTGGAAATATCCATCGCTTTCGTTGCAGTTTTTGCATCCCTTGGGACAATTATCCGAGACAACTGGATTAGGATAGACAATCAGTACGAGATATACCGTCCCGAAATATGCCCATCGGCAGAAAGCCTTGCTGTGCATCACTGGTTTCCTTCTATTTAGTCTCCACATTCTTGAAATATTAGCTGTATTCCAAAAGGAAAGTAAACTACTTGATCTGTAGTTCAGAGAGATGACCTTCTTTTCATATCAATGGTGTGGTCTGTTTTTCTTTTTCATCCAATGCACGATAACAGCAAAAACCAAGGTTAGACGGCCAGAGCGCGACGTCATTTCACTTCCCATCTACAACAAAATGAACCAAATGCAAAATAAAACACTGGTTATGGTAATTGTTTTCTGTGTGATATGCCTATAGGATGTCATCAAATGCAGACTGACTTGCTGCGAAGATGACAAGTGAAGCCGTGAATGGTAAATACTCGACTATGATCCGTGCAATGAAAAACCATGCTATTACATTACACACACAACTACAATAATAACCATGATTTTTCTCATCAGATAACTGCACTTTTTCCCAGTTGAACTATGTCTTATTTTCTCAGCTCTGCCGTACTAAAACTTTACAAGGTTTCCAATGCGTTCTCTTTAGGGAGCCCTTAATCTTCTTTTGGGGAAAATTAACGAATAAGACTTGAAACCCATCTCTTTGGACTCAATAAACCGCATTTTTCAGAGCATCATAAGCCGAAGCTAGAGTATTAGATGACATACTTTTCAATTTAGATGTGTTGGTATAAGGATAGTAATTACTAAACCAATAAAAGATTATCTATTGTTCTGCTGGTATATATCTGAGCTACATGATTAAATGAAAACAAGAATTTCACCTGAAAGTCAACAGTCTATTTATTGATGACTTAATGAGAAAAGCAAAGAAGCCGCACATGCGCAATAGCTCAAGCACCACAAATGCTTTTGAATAATTTTGAAAATGACAAATGATTTCAGTTTTTGTTTTAGTTAGGTGTTGGGCTATGGGAAATGTCTGTTTTTCATTCTTTCATATCATTGAATCAGATTGAGTTGAGTTGATCGTCACCTTTCATTCTGCTTCAACATCTGCTTCTTTTTCCATTTTCTTTTTCAACGGCAATTAGGCAAATGAGTTTTTTCCATTGCCATCCAAATATTAACGGTTTTTCTCAATGAAATATTGAGGTTTTGTTAACAATTCATCGCTCTCCTGAAGGAGGAGCACTATCGTTTTGTGATTATATTTGATTGACTAGACCAAAAGTCAAAGACAAAAAAGAGGAAAAGAAGCGAATATCTCATAAAGAGGTTGTTTGTTTTAAAGTCAGCAGGTTTCGTTTTTGAAGGATTAAAAACAAGAGAGTAATGCGTATTTAAGGTTAATCTTATTAAAAAACCAAACGAGACATCAAAAACAATCCCGACTTTTAGTTTCGTGCCTGAGGTGACTGACATACTATGATGGAATTGAAGCATTTCCTGTGTGAAGTTCTGTTCTAAGTACGACTGATTCAATGTTGCTTGAACATAAGATCTGAGTTACTATCAATAGGATCAAAAAATCAATAGACGCAGACAAAATCTAAGACTTGACGCTTGAAAATATTGATTTAATACGAAAAAGCACGAAAACCAAATTATGGAAAAGTAAAAAAATGAAAAGTTAAACATGCTAAAACCAATTTGGCCTTTTCTGCTCTTCTCGTCAGATATGAACGCTTTTTATCAATACAAAAAAGGATTGGAAGAATTTAGGCAAAAAAATTAAAATGAGTGAATCAAACAAACTTGAGTCATGTTTTGTTTTTTAACGATTTCATCGTGCATATATAATTGATTTATTGATAATGTAAGTTCATGAAAACCGATGAATTAGGCATATTGATTATTTTAAGTTAATAAAGGTACACCAAGCCTACGGCATAATTCTACTTAAAACCCTTAGTGTACATGTGTCTAACGATATTGGATATTTTGACGTATTTCCCAAAACCATTTGTGCCTCTCAATACTTATAGAAATTAAGGATGGTTTGGCTCTTCTGCATATGCGCACCTCACCTTATCTCTAAATGGATTCTCTGGTTTGATTGCTGGACTCGACATGGCATGTTAGAAGCTTAGAGTTTGTTGCATGCGTCGCTCCTTTGATTCCAGGGTTTTAATCCCTCCGCAAACCCAACACGCTCAATTCAGTGCAATTAGATCTGAGGTGAACGATCAGTGCCAGAGTTTGTTTTATGTGTGGGTTATAATAGTATTTGCGGTACTTTTCAATACTTGCGGCACAGTCTAGCCGTAGCCTTGAGCCGACTGAGCATATACTCATATACTAAAAATATACTCACTGAACACTAGCTAGCCACCTGCTTGAGCAGACGCATCCGAAACTTTTAGTAAATTGCGGTTATTATCTTCCACACGATACTATAGAATATTCTATTCCGCATCACTATGAAAACAAAGCAAATAGTTGTATAGTTATACATAGTCGGAAGGATTCGTATTGTCAAATCGTTTTTTTAAAGAATGGAAACCGACTTCAACTCAAATATTCCGCGCCAGAACTAAACACGCTCTAGTTTTGGCTTTTGTAATCTACTAATTTATTCTTTTAGATTCATTGTGACGTCATTAGCAGGGCACTAAATGTGTCATATCACTGACATAGTTGGTTCGAGCACTAACTCGGTATCTGCTTAATAAGATTCTTAGTAGCAATGCATTTAAAAGCAATTTATATACACCGAATAGAAAATGGCGAACGTTTTGAATGTTCACATGTAAGAGAGGGTTGTCCGTCTGTCAAGAACAATAGTTATTCAAATTGGTCGCCAAATTTCAAATCTGTGAATACCTTACCTTAAAGTGCATATCATCAGACTCCGTGAAGAACAATAATAGACAGGTTCTTTTTCGTTATTTTGTCCCCCGTTCTGGCAATCATTTGCCTTGTAGTAATCTCAAACAAGAATCACATTCTACCCATTCATATCAATGAATGTCTCAGTCTTCATCTAAACGAGTGATTTTCCACACGTTCGACTGCTACAGAACTGATTAAGTCTTCTGAATGAAGAACCGTGCTTAGTAGCGATTCCGAAAAAGCTTTTATCTGATAACCATCTTTAAGAGCATGATTTTGATGTTTTTGCTGTTTCTAGACAAGTAAATTGATTAGGACTTCGTAATTGGATGCCAGCACCATCAGCCGTCAATAAAAAAGACATCCAAATGAACTAAAAACTTAAAGACATCATTATACCATGTGAGAGTGAGTTTGTGCCTGCAAGACGTTTTAAGAGCGTCAAAGGTACTTACGTACTAAAAAGGGATAAAAAGTATCATTATAATATACAGTAAAGCTAAACTAAAGCCATTGCTGTCATGTTATTTGTCTGAGCTGATATCTCACAGCGGAGACCGCGTTTTTGTAGTTCTTTTTTTACATCGATAAGTTTTCTTTTGAAAGATTTAACTCAAGACTCAACGCCCACATAATAAGATATCAGAGGCCGCTTTAACATCTTTTTCAAACCTCTTCATAATATCACCACTAAGTAAACCGCACTTGAAGAGTGGATCAGTTCTCAGTATGGAACAGAATATGGAGCGAGGAATATACTGTTAGTAAAACTATGATTCATAGGTATTCATTGATAAATATTTAAAATTTCTTTCGACGAGTTTTAATAAATTCTACCAGAAACATCTATTATAGTAAATCAGTTGAAATTGAGTTCGCGGCATAGGGACTCATGATCAGCACTCGCTGATATACTGAAAGTCAGCCGCAGTCATGTGCCGCATTAGTATATCTAGACGAAACGAGATAACTGCAGGTCGTTATTTACTAGTTGATTCCTATGATACTTAGTTTTAATTCACCCGCGCAGCCTGGCAGCAAACACGCGGTAATTGCTTTAATAATCTCTGGCTTGACTGACTTAACAAAAGTCTATCTTAGTTTCCTGTAATTTTGCTATTTACGTCAATGGGAGACAGGAACCGAAAAGATGGATCACAAAAAGGGCTCCGTGCTATAGAACTGAATAAAACTGTTCAAACGTGTATTCGTTAATGGACTGATTTGAATTTCTAGGTCAATAAAGCATGTTTGATGGATATATGTGTATCAATGACTATAATGCCGAACGCCGGATTGAGTACAGCGTATATATCAGTATCTGAGTCAAAGGTAGCGGATAGATTTTTCTTGACCTTCTAGATTATCTTGCGCCTCTGGGCATGGACACAACTAAGTCGATGTCACGCTAAGTAAATATTTTGACCAAAGAAAAGAACTGCTTCCTTCCTTTTCTATCTTTTCTTTGATTGTTGTTTCTTTTCAGAGATTATTTTCCTTGATACAATAAGATAAGACAAGCAAACCACAGCCAGAAAGGAAAAAATAGAACAATCACGAACTTAGATAAGCCCTAAAACGATTAAAAGGAAAGTTGAATTATCTGTTGAGCCCAGGACAAGAAATCAAATGTCAGGTAACGGTTCAAGGTTCTAAGAATTGTAAAGATCATGTATGGGGGAAATGTAAGATATCACTGAACTATATACATTAGCAAAACTGTTAGTAGTGTTGTGAATCAGAAAACAGTCTTTAAAGGGAGAGGAAGTACTTATTCATGGACTACCCTAAACAAAATTAGCCACTCTCTATAAACACATCTTAAGCCTGCGGCTAGGTTGCCATGGTAATACCCAACTCAGAAGAAACGATAATGATATTAGATGCTATCACTGGTTCAGTTTAGCTTATAACGACCTCAGTAATAATTGAAAAAAGAAAAATTAAGTTAGCTTTTAATCGGTAATCCAGCTCGACTTCCGATTTTTTCTTCTTTTTTCTAAGTTTCACAGTCGAAAGTGAAGAGATCAAATAAAAGCACTACCGATCGAGACGATCATGCTTTAACTTTTGTGGCTTAGTTCTTAGATGTTGTACTGAGCGCCGCGAGATCTCATTACAGAACTAAAAAAGGCGCCGTTTAGAAGGTTGTATTTGCCTTTCCAGTGTTATCTTTTCGTTCGATCAAGTCAAGTAATGGATCAGATTGGATCCGGTTGACATGATATCACTATCATAGAATAGAATATAAAAAAACTGTGCTGTGAACGGCCCTAGCCTAGACACTTCTGACACGACTGAGTTCATTTCGCGGCTTGATTGAATTAGATAGGCTGTGACATGAGAATGGTCTTTGTTCTACATGTTATTAAACTTACAAATACCATCATGTTCTGCATGAAACATTTGAATAACCATGCAAGAAATAGATTCTTCTGTTTAATTAAATAAATATATAAATGCCAAGTCCTTTCATACTGATCTAGACAAAGGGAACCGAACTAGCATATGAGGAAAAAAAAAATTTCCAAACTTTCTTATCTGCCGCAAATCATGGATTTTAAAAGGACCTTTTAAGATCCATGCGTAAATTTAAAAAAATTTCAACCAAAAAAAATCAGTAAAACGAAGCAATCAGAATGCGCGCAAAAAACAGTAAATTAAAATACCACAATGCCATGCGGGTTTTAAAAAGTGTACGATCATGATGAACAGCGGTATCTTCTTGTTACTAAGCAACCGTTTCTAAAAGCTAAACTCCAAGGATAATATTCCAAGATGGCGCACAAATATGACTTACTTCTCGTAAAAACCCAGACAGACGACAAGAAACGCCATCAACCATGGTATTTTGATAGAGTATTCTTATAACTTATTGTCTGATCTATAACTTTCATCAAAATATTTGCTTCATTGTGACTTAATATTAGCTTAAAAAATCACCAATTGGAGGTCCTTAGCCAACATCGTTCTTTATTCCCCTTAAGAATTTTGATGTGAAATTTCTTTAGATTTTATAACGTAATAGTATATTTATTTCGATCATCTAAATAGGTACAGAGAACGACTGAATAATAAGTACATTAAACCAAGAAAGACAAGGGGTAAATCAGACATATTAGATGGGTCTCAATGGACGTTCCTCCAGAAAGGTAGTGATGATTTTAGAGATGGTCTTCCTCCAGAGGCCTTTTACAACTATGTAAAAAGAGTAAGTTAAAAAGACTATATTGATTATCATCGCAAGTTATCTATGTATTTATTCACACATATATTATACCACCAATATCTTGAGCTAAAGAGAAGCAGTCAGTGTTTTTTGTTGTTGTTCTTTTTACAAGTGTTATTTATAGGACCCCTCTTTAATTTGTTCTTATGTTTGGTGTACTTACAGGATGATCTGGGATTTGGTCCAACCATTACCAGCTCACAAGATAGTCTAGAAAGAAATATACCAAAGAAGTTTACAAAAACAGAAGCTATATATTCCAAGTAAATTATCGCTATTATTTTTTTGCTTATATGTCATACACCTAAACATCTATGTCGTTACTTGATGAGTTCGACTTACCAAGTACTAAAAATGGGTTTAGCCCCCCCCTCTCCCAGGCAAAAGCCTGGCTACGCCCCTGCTATACTGATACTGACCTATTTATTAATGTTTTTTTATTTTAGGGCATTACCTTTACAGCAACAGAGGAGAGAGCATGTAGAAGATATAGAATATAACTTAACGCAACACCCTTTAGCCTTGTATTCTCATCTTGAAGAGTCTTTACCTCCTGATGTGAGTTAGGAGATTATTAAAATAAATGTTGTCAGATGACAGAATAAATGCTATGGGAAAATGAACTTTTTTTATAAAATTTAAAATAATCCAACGGTGGTACTGTTCTAGTTTTTACTTTCTGTTGTAAGCTGTCATATTATTGGAATGAATGCTATGGCAGATGAAAGAATAAGAAACATGGCACTAACACCAGACAAATGTGCAGGTTATATTTAATGAGTGCTTGAATAAGCAGATGAATAAATGGGTAAATGAAAAAATGAATAAGCAAATGAATATTATATTAATCACTTATTTCAGGTATTTGAAGATGTAGTAGAAGTATTGGATCCAGAGATGAATATTGATAGTGACGCAGGGGAAGATTCCCTTGAGGTACATAATTATTGATAGTTTCCAATATATCTGTAATCATTTCTGTTTTAAAACATTCATAAACATTAATAAATATACATATATTTTTATATCATTTCAAGGAGTCACCTGAACCAAGTGTTGTGGGAAGTGAGAAGCAGCCATCAATACGAGAAAGTCAGGTAATTTTTACGCTGTTATAAATACAGTATTGTATAAGAGATATAATTCTATAACTATTTATTTGTTTTATTTTTTCCCTTTTTAGTCTGCAAAGAGCGTGGATTCTGGAAAACCAAGGTGACTAGTATATGTAATAGGACTCCATGCTGTCCAATTAAGAAATAATTGGACGAGGAAAATTCCGAGGACTGACAAAATTGGATGAGGCCATAGGCCGAGTCCAATTTGGCAGTCAGAGGAATTTTTCGAGTCTAATTATTTCTTAATTGGGGAGCATGAAATCCCATTACCTATTAATTATATAGCTGCCTAATTAATCCCATATCAACAAGACCTGTCCAATTAAGAAAATAATTGGACAGTTACCTATATGGGATTAATGAGAAGCTGTATAATTATTATTTTATTGAATGTCTAGAAATAGTCCACAGTAATTGGCTTCACACTGTTATGGTTCCCAACAGTCTCACTGACTTTGCAGTTGTGAAGGAAATAAAATGTATACAGCTGCTTCTCACACTTGATAACATTGAATGTAGAATTCTGTTTTCATTTAATTATGAACATGGTATATACATTTTTTTACAGTATACAAGGTGAGACAGAAGAAAAAGAAGGGAAGGCAGTGTATAAATGGTTACCAAGACAAGAAGAAGTACAAAAAGAAGAAAGAAATAAAGCCAGCAGAAAGAAACCTGATTCTCCTTCATCAGTAAGAACAGCTAATATGAATCTTTACTTTTAATGATTCCAGTTTCAAAAATGTCAACATTTTCTGATATTCGTCTTGTTTTAGGATACTCAAATTCAAGATGTAACAAGAGAATTTTGTAGCTGGGTTGCAGGCCTTGTGAGTATTGTTCTTAACTTATCCAAAACAGCTGCGTGGGCTGTCATGAGTTCTTGACATTAAGATTGGGTTTCCTGTGTTTCAAGTTTAGTTCAAGTTCAAGTTTATTCAAATAAAGTAAATGTACATTGCAATTCTATCACGTCATCAGTCTACGTCACTATGGAGACACATGAGAAGTACTCGCTTACTTAATTGGTCATTGCATTCCTTGCTTAAGGTCAGCAAACAGCCAAGAGGGAGCTCTCTAAAACCTTTTGGATTACATTGCTTAGAAATGAAATTTTAGTACAATAGTAGTACAAAAGAAAGAAAACTTTTAGTATGGATCTATTTTGATTTTTCGAGAACCTGTGTTTTGTGATGGACTGTCAATACAATGGCCTTGATGTACTGTTGTTTTTCATAGGGTGGTGAAAGTAATAATATTGAGGAGTCAACAGTGATGTCGCTATTTGCAAGTGGATATGAAACAAAGGTAGGGTAAAAAATTATTGTAATATGAGATTTAAACTGTCGATCTTCACCTTATCATCTGGTGCAAGTGGGTCTGGGTGGAAATAGAAAATGCACACACGTGCTGTATATAGTCATATTAAAGCAGACATGGGTTGGCCGAACATGAGTGAAGTGATAGGAAAAGCATGAAAACGTAGTGGTGTGCTTCTCGATCAACACTTCTTGAGTGTTCTGCTAATCCCCCAAGTGCTTCATAGTTTCACACAACACAGCAGAAACCATAAAATACAAATTAGAGTAGCTGTTATTTTGGACACCATGTTATATGCTATCATAATGCATGCACTACCAACCAATCAGAACACAATATTTATAAGTTATTTTGTAATGAATTATATCAATAGACCTTTCCCGAATTAGCTTGACTGAACACAAAGCAATGGTTTGAAGTCTAGACTGAACTTGATTCTGATTGTTTAGTGACCAGTCAAGCGAATTCGGGAAAGGTCTATTGGGGCATTTGAGATTATTGTTGAATACAGAATACATAGACATCATGTCATAGCTTGTTTACACCACCAGGTCATCACAGTCATATTGAAAAAACCATGATTATTGTTTCCATTATAGCCTGCATTATCAGTTCCTATTCATGTGGTAGAACTAACCAATGTACCACCAGAACTAAGGGTCAATACTGGATCACCAACCACTAAAACAACTGAAGCTAAACCATCAGTAAAGGATACTATAGATGGCAGGGTAAGTAAGTCAGGAAAAAAATAGGCTGAGTTGGCATTTCAATGCACTGTGTAGCTGATTTAGGGGACAAATGGTTAATAGTCAGGGTGGTAAAGTGTTGTTTGGTTATTTTGTCTTATGTCCTCTTCACGTTTAATCATTTTCTTGTTTAATCCAGGGAGGCCAAAAGTACACTCCCAGTTGGGTAAAAGTCAAGTATGGTGCTTGGTACTTAAGTCCTAAGGCATGGAAATCAAGACCAAAAGATGAACCATTACAAGACCCTAAAGAACAACAGGACAAGACTTTATCAGAAGCCAAGAAAAAGAGCCAAAAACTGGTATGCTTTCCCAGTACTCTTTCTCTATTTTCTTCTGAGATGTGCCAATGGTACATGCATGCCAGTGTAGTACTTATTCATCAGATGAAATAAGAAGACTATGTGCCATGGTACACCATAGACATTATGTCTACTTTCTCATTAAATAAAATCAGTAGACTATACATGTATGTGAGCAAGCAGTATGAAAAGTGGTTCTACTGAAGAAGAAAAGTGAAGGTTAACAAACATTAAACTTTCCATGTCTTGCCTTTCAGGACAATGTCCTTGCTACGATGCATGGTGCAAAAGCATTTAAGGACTTTGTAAACAAGAAGAGTACAAGACTACCAGAGTTCTTACACTCTGTAGAACAACGAAACACTCAGCAAAACCAGATAGAGAATCTGCTACGAGAAGTTAGCAATAAATCACCAGAGATGACAGAGAAAAGAAGATCCCATGCCAACATACACACACATAGTTAACAAGTCACACCCTTGAATTAGATATTTTATTTATTTGTATAACAAATGTAAATATAATTGGTGTCCTTCAATGCATCAAGCAAGAGTATTTCATATTTTTATTGTGAATTGTACTTCTGTTTAGTCAGAGGGGAAAAAACAGTATGGTCCTGTAAAGTGTCATAGAAATATATCAAGTGAATTAAGACTGTGTCATTTATATATGTGTAACTAGTTCATAGCAACATAAAACAGGACAGAAACTAGAGCAATAGCCAGTGCACTGCACAGCACTTCACGTTTGTGACTCATTATCCACCATGGTTTAACAACGTCTTGTTGTTGTTTCTTTGCTCTTCTTCTCTTGCCTTGTTTATTTCGTTCAAATAACTCTATTTCTTCCTAAAAGAGATCAAACACTGACTATGAAGACGTGTACATGAATGTACATACAGGAGACACAAACCAGTGTATCTCACCTGTTGTGCACGTCTTTCTTCTTCTTCCTTCTTCTTTTTGTCTTCTTCCTCCTTCTCTTCGCGTCTTTTCGCCAATTCTTCACATTCTTTGTCACATTCTAACGATGCTTGACCAGTCTGAACCATGTAGCATGGGAAATCCTGGGGAAAACGAGCCTCAACTAAATTTACGAAGTGGAATATATCAGCGGTTTTCGTATGAGTGGGGTAAATAAGTCAAATATAGCCGTACTATGGGGTAAATAAGTCAAATATAGCCGTACTAT